CCCCCCCCCCCCCCCCCCCGCCCCTTTTAGGTTTCCCAGACACATCCTGGCATCTCCTTTGTGGCTTCTTTGTTATGCACACTTTGACAAATGTCATCCAGGTATTCCATGCATACAGGATATTAGCACTCTGTGCACAGTATGCATACGGCATAAATACTGCGGTGCTGCAGTTCTGATTAAAAAATAAATAAAAAAATAGAAAATTCTCATTGCAATGCATTTCATGATGCCTCATAGATTATATAAAGAGCATTTACTGTGATTTATACCAGTAAGAAGAAACCGAAAAAGCAAGAGAAAAATGTATCACCCACAAAGTGCATTACTACATAATTCAAGCAGAATTTTAAATCATTATTCCCCAAAATGTGACCTAGACTTGTCCTTTATTTAATGGAAATTTTGTCATTAGAAAAATAATAAATCGAGAGACGCAGATGGTTTGGTCTGTGTTTTGTGGTGATTTCATCTGCACTTTAAATTCTACAGAACAATGATAATGGACTTGTATAATACTTTTATAATATTTTGTATTGTATCTATTTATATCCAATCTGGCTAATTTACTTTGTATTCAGTTAACAGCATTTGTTTTTTTCCCCTTCTGCCCATTTTTAGAATATTAAACATTTTAATTTCAGTTCAAATTTATTTGTAGACCATTTTTAATAAATATCAGCTTTACTTAAGATTGTGGCATATAAGCAGGAAGTATGAAAATTTCACGGCAAACAGGACATACAAAAGAATATGGGAGATATTTTCTAACATGAACATTACAAGGAAAGAGAATTTGTTACTGTTAAAACACATTACAATACATTCAGTTTTGTAGCATTTTTTTCTGTTTATTTAATTATTGAATTAGTTTTTATTTTTTAAGTTATGTTTTACCAATACATTTATTTAATAATTGATATTTCTTTCATTGGATAATGTATTCTTTGAACATAAGATAGGTATAATTTCATGTCATATATATTGCCATTTTTGCTTTCCCAAGAGAAATGTTGTGCTTTTTCATTATGACATATATATATATAAATATATATATAATTTTTTTCTTTTTTTTTTCTTGGGTGTCATAATATATATGACAAGAACAACTGAGAGCATTGATGTTCATTTTGTTTTTAAAGGTCTGGTGTATAATATACTTTAATGGACAACCAAAGGATTATATTGATTTAGAAGTATGAAGGAAAATAATACGTCATTTAAAACAGAACTTTTGACACTATATCATTTAAAACTGACATTTTATCAGTATCGAGGCTCTTTCTTTTGCTGTAAACTAACATGGAAATCAATTTATTAGTGCAATGCTTATTGGTTGATTCATTGATTCATTCACGCATTCCTGGATGCTGGAGAATTGCTGTGATTTCCTCAGCTGTGCTGCTGCTGAGAGTTTCCAGTGTTGTGCAAGAGCTGACGGGAAGAGTCACGCAGGTCAAAGGGCTCTCTGAGCTCAATATAAATATCAGAGCAGAAGAACGGAGGAAGCACTTCAGCAGATATCATCCTCTACATCAGCTCCTCAAGAGAAGAACAAGCTTCAGCGTTACAGAAGTGAAAATGAAGTTGACACGTGTGGCTCTCGCTGCTGCAGTCGTCATCGCATGCGTCTGCTTCCTGCAGACCGCAGCCGTTCCCTTCACACAGGTGAGCGTCTGCGCTGAAACTACATGGACGGGTCTTTCAGTTGGCAAACTTGCATGCATGCAGAACCATCAGTAATATTATTTACTTTCAATGCATTATATATGCAGTCTTACCGTGAAACTGTCATATTAAACATCTTTACATTATGACATGCTGAACATGCATCTTACTGGTGAACATTTGAAACAAAATGTCATGCAACTTCTATATATTTTGACATGTGATCTGTTTGGCATTATCACTAATGATTTGCTGCTACCCTAATGAAAACCAACAAGTCTTACCTTTCTATACTTCATCAGCAGACTGACGATGAGCATCACGTGGAGAGTGAAGCACCACAGGAGAACGAGCATCTGACAGAAACTTCTCAGGAACAAACAAATCCAAATCCCCTGGTATGTAAGCAGCTCTGATTTTTTTTTTTTTTAATTCTATATTATTTATTTTTAAATTACATTTAATGAAACACTTTTCTATTTTTTTTTTTTTTTATTTACAATTAATTATTTTATTTTTTATAATTAATTATATTTTTATTTAAAAAATCTAATTTAATCACACATGCACACACACAATGTATATAATTAATAGACTTAATTAATAATAATTTTTAATATTTTTTTTAATTTATATTTAATCAAACACTTTTTGTTTTATATTATTTATATTCTTATTTAAATGATTTTTTATTTAATATTATTTTTTATCATTAATTATTTTAACATTGTTTTAAAATTAATTATTATTATTATTTTTTGCATTTTTATTTAATCAAAAACCTTATATATTCTACATTTGGGTCGTTCCTAGCTATAAAAACTATTATTAATTGATAATTAATATGTAATAATATGTAATATAATTAATTAATATGTACATTTTTGTTTACGTTTTAATTTAATGTGTTTAGGAGGCCCTAAATAACATGCAGTTTCTTTCCCCCCCGATAGGCATTCTTCAGGGTGAAGCGTCAAAGCCATCTGTCCCTGTGCAGATACTGCTGCAACTGCTGCCGCAACAAAGGCTGCGGATACTGCTGCAAATTCTGATCCTGCGGCGTTTTACCAAGTTCTGTGTGCTCAGGAAAAGAGTTTCTTTGAAACATTAACTTATTTGGACTTTTGTCTTCAAAAACCTTGCTGAGATGACTTTCCATGTGGCATCAAGTTGTTTGAAACGGGTATAAAGGCAGGCTTTGTCTCCATGCATACTGCTTTGTAGAAGTTGCAGCTACTGAAATTTAACTAACAATATGAGAGCTCACCTACTTTTTTTTGAAAGCTTTTATGATTTTGTATGTTTTATATGTATATTTTTTATGCCTGTGTACAATGATTGTTTAGTAAATGAAAAGCTTTTGGATATTTGTAATAAAATGATTTTGCATGTGAACTGTTGTTATTTGAGGTCAGTCTGTGGTGAATCTCTAGGGGGCGCTAAATACACACACACACACACACACACACACACACACAGGTTTGTTTTTATGGTTTATGGGGACTCTCCATAGGCGTAATGGTTTTTATACTGTACAGACCGTATATTCTATTGCCCTACACCAACCCTACCCCTAAACCTACCCCTCACAGGAGACTTTCTGCATTTTTAGATTTTCAAAAAAACTAATTCTGAATTATTTATAAGCCTTTTGAATTATGGGGACACTGAAAATGTCCTCATAAATCACCTTCTCTTTGTAATACCTATGTCGTACCCATGTTATTATACAAATTTGTGTCCTCATAAACCACATAAACATGCACACACACACACACACACACACACGTACATGAGGCGGGAATGCTGTATTTATGCACCTCAGAGACACCAGCTCTGTTTAAAACCAGCATCTTAAATTAAATGGAACCCTATAACTGATGCTCAAATTATATAAATTATTATAATATTATATTATTACATTATACTATTATCAGCATTTTATTATACTGTTATTATATCAAATGTAATAAAAATAATAATTATTTTAATTATTAGGTTTTTATTTTGAAAGTAGTAATTAAGCATTTTTTAAGTAATTAATATGATTTCTTACTGATTTTATAAGTGTGTGTGTGTGTGTGTGGGGGGGGGGGGATAATAAAGTTCTATATTCTATACAGTTTTGTCTCAACATATTAAAAATAAACCACTAGAAATTAAAATATTTTTTTTACAAAGCATACAGTAAATGCACATTGTAATTAAGACTTGCTAAAGATTAAATTAAACAGCAGTGTTATATTATTATTTATGTATATATGCATTAGATGACAGAAAAGGTGATCTTATTGTAAAAAGAGAGAAAATGAGCATTAAATTTAAGTCGTGAAGTTTGAGATTTGTCTCGTCCACACACACACACACACACACACACACACACACATAAAGTAAAAAAATAAAAGAAAGAATTAAAAAAAATTTAATTTATATTTTACATATATATTTGCTCCATGTAGGCAACTGCAAATAAATCTATAAAATATAATACTATTATTAATTATTTAATTATGAATAGATTTAATTAATGTAAATATTAGTTTTTCCATTTTTTTTATAAATATATTAAAATGGTTAATAATTTTGTACATTTTTATAAAAAAATTTTTTTTATTAAGCACACACACTGTCAACTTTTAATTAGTCTAAACTATGTTTTATCTTTGACATTCAATGACATTTATTCCTTCTCTCTCTTTGTTTGAGCTTGTTGCAGTTTTCTGTGAAAAACGTGCTGCTGCCCAAATTTTTAGCCAGCCTTTGCATCCTTAAAATGCTCCCTATGTAGGTGTCTGACTAGATTTTATAAGTCACTGTGAATTCAGACACGTAAAGCTTGTGTTTCTAAAGTGGCCTCTCAAATCTCAACAGCTTTTTCATCATTTATTGTATATAATTAATACTGAACTTGTGTCAGCGGCGTCATTCAATATGCTTGAGATTCCTAAGCAGAATGGATGAAGACTTTAATCAAGGCAAACCACCAACGCAAACATGCCGCCTGGCTCTTCGTTATGTCGATTGCAGGCAGCACCTGGAGTCGTTAGTTTTAATTAATACAAAGGAATGTTGGCGGTCGCTCTCATTCCTTCTCTGTGTCTGACTGATGAGGACCTTTTGGTGACAGTTTGGAGAGATTTATTTATTTAGTAATAATACGTTTATTACTTATTAGATTTTTAACCCCAACTTTTGAATAGTATTTCTTCTATAAGAATTATAGTTAAATTAAAACGTCTATATAATACACAAAGTTAGAAATTAAAGTCTATATAATACACAAAAAGGAATATTTTTTTAATTACTTAATCCATACACTATAAAATGCTGGGTTAAATACAACCCAGTGCTGGGTAAAATAGGGACAAACCCAGCAATTGGGTTGTTTTGACCCAGCTGTTGGGTTACTACCCAGAAGGATGGGTTAGCCTTTGCATCCTTAAAATGCTCCCTATGTAGGTGTCTGACTAGATTTTATAAGTCACTGTGAATTCAGACACGTAAAGCTTGTGTTTCTAAAGTGGCCTCTCAAATCTCAACAGCTTTTTCATCATTTATTGTATATAATTAATACTGAACTTGTGTCAGCGGCGTCATTCAATATGCTTGAGATTCCTAAGCAGAATGGATGAAGACTTTAATCAAGGCAAACCACCAACGCAAACATGCCGCCTGGCTCTTCGTTATGTCGATTGCAGGCAGCACCTGGAGTCGTTAGTTTTAATTAATACAAAGGAATGTTCTCTGTGTCTGACTGATGAGGACCTTTTGGTGACAGTTTGGAGAGATTTATTTATTTAGTAATAAGTTTATTACTTATTAGATTTTTAACCCCAACTTTTGAATAGTATTTCTTCTATAAGAATTATAGTTAAATTAAAACGTCTATATAATACACAAAGTTAGAAATTAAAGTCTATATAATACACAAAAAGGAATATTTTTTTAATTACTTAATCCATACACTATAAAATGCTGGGTTAAATACAACCCAGTGCTGGGTAAAATAGGGACAAACCCAGCAATTGGGTTGTTTTGACCCAGCTGTTGGGTTACTACCCAGAAGGATGGGTTAAACATTTAACCCAACCGCTGGGTCAAAACAGCCCAATTGCTTTTTTATTAAGCACACACACTGTCAACTTTTAATTAGTCTAAACTATGTTTTATCTTTGACATTCAATGACATTTATTCCTTCTCTCTCTTTGTTTGAGCTTGTTGCAGTTTTCTGTGAAAAACGTGCTGCTGCCCAAATTTTTAGCCAGCCTTTGCATCCTTAAAATGCTCCCTATGTAGGTGTCTGACTAGATTTTATAAGTCACTGTGAATTCAGACACGTAAAGCTTGTGTTTCTAAAGTGGCCTCTCAAATCTCAACAGCTTTTTCATCATTTATTGTATATAATTAATACTGAACTTGTGTCAGCGGCGTCATTCAATATGCTTGAGATTCCTAAGCAGAATGGATGAAGACTTTAATCAAGGCAAACCACCAACGCAAACATGCCGCCTGGCTCTTCGTTATGTCGATTGCAGGCAGCACCTGGAGTCGTTAGTTTTAATTAATACAAAGGAATGTTGGCGGTCGCTCTCATTCCTTCTCTGTGTCTGACTGATGAGGACCTTTTGGTGACAGTTTGGAGAGATTTATTTATTTAGTAATAATACGTTTATTACTTATTAGATTTTTAACCCCAACTTTTGAATAGTATTTCTTCTATAAGAATTATAGTTAAATTAAAACGTCTATATAATACACAAAGTTAGAAATTAAAGTCTATATAATACACAAAAAGGAATATTTTTTTAATTACTTAATCCATACACTATAAAATGCTGGGTTAAATACAACCCAGTGCTGGGTAAAATAGGGACAAACCCAGCACCCAATTGCTGGGTTTGTCCCTATTATACCCAGCACTGGGTTGTATTTAACCCAGCATTTTTTAGAGTGTATTATTATCCTTTTTGGACTTTGTCAGGCATGGCTAATATAAGCTCTTTTTATACAATGTATCAAGTTTATTAGTACAGGATATACTGTATCAAGTCCCTCCATTTCACCATCTGCTCCTATCTGCGTACACTCTAAAAAATGCTGGGTTGTTTCAACCCAATTTTGGGTCAAATATGGACTAACCCAGCTGTTGGGTTAAATTTTTACATTAAAGTTTTAACCCAAACGTTGGGTTAGTCCATATTTGACCCAAAGTTGGATTGAAACAACCCAGCATTTTTTAGAGTGTATGCTCAGAAATGCTAACACTGGCCAAACACAGAAGCACATAACAGTGCAGAGATTAATATACAGTGTAAAGGCTGGTCTCTCATGCATAATTTAGCATACGCATGTGTTTCACAGCCATAAACTGAGAGCAGTACTAAAAAGCATTTTTATATGACTATGATATTACACCAAGGCCCTCCTCGAGTGAACCACATGCGCTATTTCCCGCTGTTTTAATGCTGAGTTTCTTTTATCTCAGAAAGTCGAAATACTTGAACGAGTTTATGATGTAATGTAAACATGGCAGAACCAAGGACACGTGCATAGTTGCAGAAAACACCTGGGTTTTGGTTTAGTTTTCATACTTTCTGAAGGTAATGACTGAAAAGTAGTTTGACCGATAGCGTGCAGGCGTCGTACAGAATCGACCAATCGTGGAATGCCGAGATGGCGGGATCTACAGTGGACGTCAAAGCGATTTAAATAGGGAGCACTTCAGTAGGAAAATAAAGCCAAAATGTTGAAAGATTTTTTACTTTTAAAAGGAACCAAAGACTATTATTAATGGTTATTCGGTCACTTTACTCTTCATATGTCC